CAGCTGCATTCCTGGAAACATAAAGTACTATCATCTTCATAAATCATCATTCTTTCCTATGATACATAATTAGGTTATTTTTTCCATTTATGTTTTATATCCTATTAAGAGGTCGAGGAAACGTCAAAGCAAATCCCTATTTCCTAGTTATTTGATCCTTACACGACATTGACACCAAGAGAGATAAGAGAGAGATTGCCCTCACTTTATATAGAGTTTAGGGAGGTAACTGATTTGCCCAAAGTCACACAACTAGTCACAGATGGTGACAGGATTCAGGGCCACACTGTTGAGCTCCTCCTTCAGAGTTTTTCCTACCACTACAGGCTTTTTCAAAATAGCAACTTTCTAAGATTTAATTTCAAGCAAGATATGTGACCCTATGTGAATTAGCAGGAAGACCATGAACTAGAAGAGTGTCCTGTGACACAGGTCCACAATTTGGTAGATATACACACAACATTAACATGGGATTGATTGACAATAGTGTGGTAATGATATCCTTATCAAACACAGGAGTGATTACTGTGAGATTTGTAATACTTATGGTCCACTCGCAGATTTCCCACTCCCAGTGCCTTTTCTTTAACCTATGCCCCTCCATTTGCCTCTAGAGCCCACTCTGAAGACATTTCTAATACAAGCACAAGCTGCTTTCCTTTCTTCCTTTCTCTCTTCATTTCTTCCTTCTCACCTTCCTTCTTCTCTCCCCCTTATCATCCTCATCCCTCTTTCTTTCTTTCTCCTTTTCTTTCCTTTCTGTCTTTCTGTTTTTCTTTTTGCCAGTCCTAGGGTTTGAACTCAGGGCCTGGGCACTGACCCTGATCTTCTTGTGCACAAAGCTAGCACTCTATCACCTGAGCCACAGTGCTACTTTTGGTTTTCTCTGATTATGTGGTACTAAGGAATCAAACCTAGGGCTTCATGCATGCTAGGCAAGCAGTCTACTACTAAGACACATTCCCCCTACCTCCTCTTCCTTTTTAAATCAAGCCTTAATTTATCTTCTCCTGATGTTTTGCCATTGCTCAAGCTGATCACCAACAGGGAATGAAATAGCTTTCCTCTCAACTCCAAATGGAAAAATTCAACTTTTCTTTTAAAATCTGGTAGAAAGCCATTTCTCCCATGAAAGGCAACTCAAACATGTTACCCCACCAGCCAAAATAATTGTTGTAGCCCAAATCTATTAAACAACTCATTCTAACTTCTTTGTCTTTCTTTCTTTCTTTCTCTCTTCCTTCCTTCCTTCCTTCCTTCCTTCCTTCCTTTCTTTCTTTCTTTCTTTCTTTCTTTCTTTCTTTCTTTCTTTCTTTCTTTCTTTCTTTCTTTCTTTCTTTCTTTCTTTCTTCCTTTCTCTCTTTTGTCAGTCATGGGGCCTAAACTCTGGGCCTGGGCCTGTTCCTCAGCTTTTCAGCTCAAGGCTAGCACTCTACCATTTGAACCACAGCACTACTTCTGGCTTTTTCTGCTTATGTGGTGCTGGGGCCTCATGCATGCAAGGCAAGCACTCTACTACTGAGCCACCTTCCCAGCCCTCATTCTAACTTCTATAATTCCTTCTTGTCCTCTCAAATCTATATGTATTTCTGGGTCCTAGTTTGGGTCTTTACATTTCCCCAGACACATGCACAGCAGAGCACCATGAACAGAGCTGGTGGTTAGTGATGATATGCATGTGTGAGTAATCAAAGGACAGTCCTTTGGCATGTGTTTGGGACTTCATCACTATTGTGTAAGATACAATGAGCAAATTGCTGTGGAGCATCGGGGTAGTTTTCTAAATGATCTTGTTACATAAATGATGAGGTTAGGGTGGATCTCAATGGTAGGACACCTGCCTAACATAAGTGTGTACAAGGTCCTGCCTGTGATCCCCAGTACTGTAAAGTAAGTCAACAGATAACACTGAAAAGATAATTCAGACTATAAAACTTCAACAGATAAGAAATTAAAACTATTGCTAAATATTTTTTGGATAAATGTCTTAAACACTCCATTTCACTCTTCATGCATAGGGAGAGATTTAAAAAAGAAGAACAACAACAAAAATCTCAAAGTAAATCTTAAAATATAAAAATATAAGCCAGGTACTGGTGGCTGACACCTATAATCCTAACTAGATTAATAGCTATGCTGAGATCTGAGGATCAAGGTTCAAAGCCAGCCTGGGCAGGAAAGGTCCATGAGACTATGTCCAATTAACTTCCTAAGAAAGCCGAAAATGAAACTGTGGCTCAGGTGGTAAAACAGTAGTCTTGAGAAAAAAAAGTGTAAGGGCAATGCCCAGGCCCTGAGTTTAAACCTCATCACCAACACAAAAATAAATTATTAATTAAAATTTAAAAAGTAAAAATCTAATAGAACAAGGAAACATGTTGAAATTGTTTTGGGCATGGAGGAAGGGAACATGATGGAGGAGGTAAGAATGACTGGAATATATTGTGAGCATGTGAAAATTTAACAATGAAATCCCCTGTATATAAAAATGCTAATAAAGCTGGGCACCTGTGGCTCATGCCTGTAATCCTAACTAGTTAGGAGGCTGAGATCTGAGGATCACAGTTCAAAGCCAGCCCAGGCAGGAAAGTCTGTGAGACTCTCATCTCCATAAACCACCAGAAAACCAGAAGTAGCACTGTGGCTCAAGCGATAGAGCTACTCACCTTGAGCTGAAGAGCTCAGAGACCGTGCCTAGAGTTCAAGCCACACTACTGGAAAAAAATGCTAATAAAAAAGTGGCAAGATAATAAGATACAAATTGATGTTCAGAGAGTAAGAAGGGTCAATTGACAAAAAAAAGTATTGTGAGGAGTTTTTAAAAGTTCAATCTTACTCTATTGTAACAGAGCACCCCCTACATCTGAATCAATATCTGTTGATTACTATTGTTTATGAACTGAGATGAAGAAGTCTTGGGAAAGAACACAGTAGAGGATCCAACATTGCATAATTCGTACTGGCAGTGGTTTAGAAAAAGGAAAAATACTGATGACAAAACACAAATGGAATTGGCACTATGTGATATTGCTTCTCTGATCATAAAATGTGTCATGAGAGGAACAGATACCATGAACTAGCCTTATTCAATCCTGAATGCCAAGAGCTAAGTGGGCCACAGTTAGAAATCAGTGCTTTGACCACACCACTGGGGAACTCTGTGGCCAACACCTAGGTTCAACCAAGACACACTCTCTCTCTCTCCGTGTGTGTGTGTGTGTGTGTGTGTGTGTGTGTGTGTGTGTGTGTGCTATTCGTTTATTTATTTAGATCCAGGATCTCATTATGTGGTTCAGGCTGGCCTCAAACTTGAGATCCTCATCCCTCAGCCTCCCAAGTGCTGAGATTACAGGAATGAGCCACCAGTTCTAGCTCAAGTTGAATTGAACTCTATTTTTTTCCACACGGAATTATCCATCTATTCTTTACCTTTTTTTTACCAGTAATTAAGAAGTGGACACTCAAAACAATTCAATTCCTACATGGCTCAGCATTGCACCACAGCCACCAAGCCCTGATATCAAAATGGCATATCTGGAGGAACACAGACAAACTGTGTAGCTAGAATAAGGGCATATATGGCATCACCATGCTAGTCCTGAGGAAAGGTGTTTCTAAAAAATATTGGGATTCATGGTGAACAAATCTAGAAGGCTCTGTTGTGGGTTCCCCTCTGAAAGTTGCACAGCACACACTACGGGCAATAAGGAGCACCACAGTAAGGTCTCTGTCACACTTGGTTCAACTCAGAAGGTCCAAATACATTCGACTAAGAACTTTATTCTACTAACTCCTTTGACTATTGATACCTAGCTTGGGAAACGCTTGAATCTACCCTACATATAATATCTCTGTGACTTTCAATCCAGTTAAAAGCAATGCTTGTTTGGGCTGTCCAAAAATCATTGCTTAAGGGAAGACTTAAACTAGAAATGGGAAGTTACAGAATTCTGACAATCAAGTTAGGATCTGGAAATTTTACCTTGAGAGAGAGAGAGAGAGTATATTACTAAAGAAAATCATACTTTAAGCACAATTATTATGGCTAATTGTTCATACCAGCATGTTCTTTATAGAAATGATTTACTGCCATGGATCCCATAAAACAAATTTATGTCCTTTTATGTGCAATAGGAAGCAGAGAATCAAGTGATTATCCAAATAGTTCAAATCAATCTCTCTTCCTACAACAATCCAACACATGCTATTCATTTTGAGATCATTCAATTGTACTAGGTTTGAATGTGGAACTAGAAAAAGTGAGAGCACAGGCCATCTGAAAAGTGATCATTGTTCTATGCTGTTTAAGTATATTATATTAATAAATTTGGCCTTTAAGAAGATATAATCATTGACTGTCTTTAATACCAGTAAGGAAATGTCTAGAATACTACATGACTGAAAATTCTTGAATATCAAAGAATTTATTTTCCCATGTTCCTAGTTATCTCATTCACTATGGAAGACTGTAGCACTAAGTTGTACTATAAGTATACATACCAAAGAATCCTGTTATACATCTAAAATAAAATCCATACATTTTCTTTTTAAATCACAAGCATCCCCAGTAATCCAAGTGAAATCCATTCACCTTTATAAAGGGAAAAAATCCTGATATATTAGAACTGACCTATACTTCATATTATCAACATTTTAACATAATACTTTAAGATATATGCCAACATATACAATGATAAAATTTAAAGTGGGATGTCATTTTTTTTAAAAACTGGAATGTCATATTTTAGTTTTTTTAATTCAAAACCATAAAAACATTAATATGCAAAATCTTTCTAAAACACGATTGGTAGGTGTCACATTCTGAATTAAAGAAAACATATTGCAGAATTTCCTCCTTCTAAGATCTAGGGGCACCAGTAGGTATTAATACACTCGTGAAACACCCGGATGTTAGACTGAACTTTCCGTTCACTCACTCCATTGCAATTTAATGGTCAAAAGGATCATGTTTTCAAGCAGCCCTCATGGCGGTACCTTACCAGTGTAGATGCTGGCATTGGAAGCTGGGATGCCAAACTGTGACTCGATGAACTTGGGAATGAAGGTAATGAAAGCAGTGACAATGGCACTCTCAGCTGTGTATGACAAACTCACAAAAAGGAATGTCATGTTGCTTAAGATCCTGACAGCTGCTCTTGGTAGGTCTACAAAAATGACAAAAATGACAAATGAATGTTATAAACAATGGATGGGAAACAAAATAAAACTGAATTGTCTTTGAAATGAACTGTGGAAAAATAGCCATTTGACAGTCTTTGCCGCAGGACAATAACAACGGAAAGATCAATTAGACACCATTTCCCTTATGAGAATTGGTTATGTTGGCTTTTTTTTAAGTTTTCAACCAAGGTAAGGAAGAAATAATGTGTCTAAGAACATACCTATTTACAAATAGCCGTATAGTACCTCAATTTAGCCTCCTACTTCAAAAACTTGTTTAAAATAAATGCTTTGCATTTTTCACAGTAGAACACATTTTCTTTTTCTTTTTTTTTTGCCAGTCCTGGGATTTGAACTCAGGGCCTGGGCACTGTCCCTCAGCTCTTCAGCTCAAGGCTAGCACTCTACCACTTGAGCCACAGTGCCACTTCTGGCTTTTTCTGCCTATGTGGTACTGAGGAATCAAACTCAGGGCCTCATGCATGCAAGGCAAGCACTCTACCACTGAGCCACCTTCCCAGCCCCTAGAACACATTTTCTGTTTAGATCTTGATTAGAATACATTTTCTGTTAACACCCTCAAAGTCTACTAAGTGGGTAAAATTTCTGCATACAACTCTAAGTTATGGGTTCCAACCCATCCAACTACCACTTTCCTGAGAAGATCATTTCCGAGTTGACATGTTCTCTCCCCATATTGCAGGTACCCATAGCAGAGGAACAAGGACATGATGGAGATCTCATCTTCCAGAAAGTACTAGCTGAAGAAGCTGAAGTGGATGAAGCTGTAAGGCTAGACCATTCCAGGTACTTTGGATTTATTATGGAACAAAGATCCATGATTGCCCACTGGGAAAGAGAGACTAGAGTTGGCTCTGCAAGTTGCTGTCTAGTGCATGCTGGCCTATTCCTCAGGAAAGAACAAAAAGTCTATTCCTTTATTTCACAGAGCTTGCCACAGATGAATGTACAAGTATTTTTTTGCAGCATTATTCATCATTACATGTAATTTGTATGTAATCATATATAAGTAAAAATCAAACCAAAACTGTATTTATATGTGGTCAACTTAATACTTCTCACCACATATTTAACATGACACAGATTGAGAAAAAGAGGGATAAAAGAAAGTTCTTTGAGGCTGGAAAGGTGGCTCAATGGTAGAGTGCTTGCCTCATATGCATGAGGCCCTGGGTTCAATTCCTCAGCACCACATAAGCAAAAAAAGTCAGAAGTGGTGCTGTGGCTCCAGTGGTAGAGCTCTAGCCTTGAGGAAGAGCTGAGGGACAGCACCCAGGCTCAGAGTTCAAGCCCCATGACCAACAAAAAAAGGAAGTTCTTTGGTATTTTTGCAAGTTTATAAGGCACATTCATGTAATCCCCATATCTCCATGGGAAAAATAAGGTTCTCCAGTTTTCTTACTAGTCATCCCAAAATATAATTAAATCCTTAGACTCCAACATAACAAAGTCATTTCATTACTATTAACCAACAAGTTTTACTATAAATTATAGCTTCCTATTCACCAAAATCTGACGATCAGAAAGTAAGATTATTTGCTATTATAATTTTAAATTGTAATCAAATTGAATGTTCTATATCTTAATTAAAAATTTAAGGTTGAACCTTTAACTATTTTGAGAGAAAAGATGAACGTTTTATTTTTAACATAAACATAATCAAAGCACTTTCATAAAGTCTCCAATAATTTTCTTTTCTTATAAACAGTAAACTAAAATGTCATATACAAAAAATTAAAGTTAGTGTTAAGAGTGCATATCAACATTTAAAGATTCAAATTCAGTTCACTTGGTATACCAAAAGCCAATGAGTTGAGTTTAAAACATCTGGAAGAAATTGAAAGTAAAAAATTATATTCATGATGACACTCTGTGTGTGTGTGTGTGTATATATACATATATATATATATGAACATTTAAATCATACCAGTCCTATCAAACTGATTTTTTCCTTTAGATTCATTTGAGTCAATAAGTAGCCCTCTGTTTGCAAAAGCAAGTAAATATACATGGTGAGTTCTCTCTTCTCTTTCATTAAAAAAAGAAAGTCTAATGTTCAAATCTTCAAAAAGTCTAACTGGCCTTCTTTTTTTTTTCCATGTTCAGCAGCTCCTTACTAGAATTGAGCTTCCTGCCCATGTGCCCTGCAGGAGATGAGGCCAGAGGTACAAGATATATGTGCCTCTAGCTGGTGGACTAAGCCATTGAAAAGTAATGAAAGTCAACTTTCCAAGTGCCCAAGAATGGAGTTAGAAATATGAAAGGATGGAAAGTTAGATATTAGATTCTAGCAAGAGGAACAGACATGCAGCTCAACTGGTAGAGCCTAGCAAGTATGAGGGCCTGAGTTCAAAGCCCAATACTTCCAAATTAGAGCTGGAGATTGGCATGAACCAAATAGGTAGGCAAATAGAAAAATAATTTTAGATAGATAGATAGATGTATAATAGAAAAGTGTGAAAATCTAATAGGAATCAGATACACTTGATCCTCATTGTTCATGGATCTCACATTTACAAATTAATTAACCTAGCAGCTAAAATTCATTTGTAATTTCAAATTTAAATTACTTTCAAAGCCATACTCTAAAAACTTGAGGTAGGAAGGAGTGACATTATCCAAAATAGAAATGTACTCATTACCTGACTTATGGAGCTGTAACTCCATTGTATATCACCTTTAAAAGAACAATTTCAAATAATTGGAAAAAAACGAGGTATCCCACTCATCTGCCCCAGCTGAAGTGGAGCACAATGTTCCTCCTTCAGGTTTTATCACCAGGTGGTAAGTCCCTTTCACAAGATGCTGTCACATTTTTCTCATTTTGCTTTTTGTTAGTGACTTTGCTTACTTTGTAGTAGCGCATATTTATAATCTCAGCATTTTCAGAGCTAAAGGCAAAAGGATCTGCAGTCCAAGGCTAGCCTTGGATATATAATAAGACCTTGTCTCAAAATAAAATAAAATAAAATGCCCTGAGAGCAGTGCTGTAGTGGTATCTAGAGCTCTTAAGCACAAGTCACTGGAAGAAGCTGTGGAAAAACTATATCCAGGAGCCTTCCTTCATCATGAGTTACAGTGCTATTGGCCAAAGGTCAACAGTAATACACCAACACTACGTATTAAATAGCTGGCTTCAAATAGAAGCACATTAATAAAATCAGGCTATGTGCACATCTATTAATGATCACGGTGTGACACTATCCTAACTCTGTATCTCCCCTAGGAGAATGCTTCTGTTATTTAATTCTGTGCTCATGGTGACTTCACAGAGACCAACTGTCACAAGGAATGGGAACTGACTATGCAGCTCCAAAACACTCCCTGTAAGTACTTATACCTTACTTACCAATTCATAATTATACTATGTTTATTAACAGTATCATGAAGACACCTAGCAAATGTGATTGCTTCCATTGATCAAAGTTAACCTAACTGATGATTGGGCAAATGAATACCATTTGCCTATATGAAGCATTATTTTGGGGGTAGGCCTAAAATAACTCCACAAATAAGAAGACATTTCAAACTGAAATTGAGCAACAGTCTATGACATTAATGGCTTATTCTTTTTCAAAAGATCAAGGTCACAAAAGGCCAGGAAAGATGAGAAACTGATCCAGACTGAAGGAGACTAAAAGATACAGAAACTAAATACAGATGAGCCTGGACTGAATCTAGACATAAGAGTATTATTGGGATTACAGACCAAATATTAATGGGCCCTGTAGTTTAGTGAGTAGCACAGGTTTAATGTTAAGCCCACATTTTGCTTGTGTGTGCTGGTCCTGAGGCTTGAACTCAGGGCCTGGGTGCTGTCTCTCTACTTTTTTTTTCTCAAGGCTAGCACTCTGCCACTTGGGCCACAATTCCACTTCCAGCTTTTTTTCCTGGTTAATTGGAAAGAAGTTTCTTGGACTTTCCTGTCCAGGCTGACTTGGAACCACAATCCTAAATCTCAGCCTCCTAAGTGGCTAGGGTTATAGGCATGAGCCAGTTGGCACTTGGAAAAGTTCTTTTCTTTTTTTTTTTCTGTCGGTGGTGGGGCTTGAACTGTGGGCCTGGGCACTGTCCCTGAGCTCCCCAGCTCAAGGCTAGTGTTCTAGCTCTTGAGCCACAGCTCCACTTCCAGTTTTCTGGTGGTTTATTGGAGTTAAAAGTCTCACAGACTGTACTGGCCAGGCTGGCTTTGAACCACGATCCTCAGATCTCAGCCTCCTGAGTAGTCAGGATTATAGGCATGCACCACCAGCACCTGGCTAAGTGCCTATTTGGGGGCGGGGGGAGGGTCCGGTCGTGGGGCCTGAACTCTGGGCCTGGGCGCTGTCCATCAGCTCTTCAGCTCAAGGCTAACGCTCTACCACTTGAGCCACAGCGCCACTTCTGGCTTTTTCTTTTTGCTTATGTGGTGCTGACGAATCGAACCCAAGGGCTCAGGCAGGCAAGGCAAACGCTCTACCACTGAGCCACCTTCCCAGCCCCTAAGTGCCTATTTTTAATATGATTGCCAGGAGCCCATGTAGAAAATTGTCCTAGCACTTAGGATATACACCATAAGTACAAGAATTCCTGTCTGCAAGTTCTAAGAAACATTCAAGATTGAGGAAGGGTACAGGGCTCAGAGTAATGGGGGCTCTGTGTGCGATTTTACAGCCTTTACATAAATTCAAAATAGTTTCAAATGCGCAAAGAAATTGAGCAAGGGAGTTGCTAAATACTTGGGTTTTCCACCAAATACCTATTTTTTTCTCCCAATCCTACCTATTCCTTCAATTTTCCTAGTTCCATTTTCATATTTATACAATGAATATGACTGTCTTCTCCCACCCTTCCTACTTTTTATGTTGCAGTATATATTTTAGATAATTTTAATATTTTATGTAACTGTACCATTATAAAAATCAAAGATGCCATTAAAATCACGATGAAAGAGAAATGATGAAATAATGATAAGTGATCATTT